CAACGATGGCGGATTTGAGGAAGACTCGTCATCGCAAAGCATGGGGTCGTTGGAAAAGGGTACTTGCGGAGGCGGCTACGGCGGCGGCGGCGGCTACATGGTAATGCTTTTTATCTGAATGGCTAGCTAGCCTAGCTCGGTATTGAATATTTATCTCTGGAAGTGAATCTTAGAGTTCCTGTTTTTGTTCTGTGTATATCTTACAGGAGGCTAATGAAGCAGTCAAGAAACGAGGACGAGGACGTCCGCGGATTCAACTATCATTTGAAGAGGAGGAGAAAAGGAAGAAGAAGAAAAATGAAAGGGATAGAGATGATCGGGCAAAAAAGAAGGTAAAGAGATGTCTTGTTGTTTCCACATGTATTATAATTGCAGGTGAATTTAGTGATAGTTTTTCTTTGTAATTAAAGATTACTTTGAATTTTATTTTTGTAGTGTGCATGAAAGATCTTCATTTATTCTGTTTTAATCGTTAATTTAGTTGAATTTCGGGAAAGTTTTTCTTTGTAATTTAAGATTTCTGTATGAATTATATCTTTGTAGAGTGAACTCATTAGTCTTCGGAAATTGAAAGAACTGTACAAGAAATTTTGTGAGAATAAGGTGGGGATTGCTAAAGAGTTCAAAGCCTTCTGTAAAAAGCATGAAGAAAAGGTGTGATGATCTTTGCCTTTAGTTTTTTATCCAAAACTTTTCTTTATGCACTAGTAGATCTATGTATAAAAACAATTCCTGTTGAAAAGATTGAACAATACATTTTTACTTCCTTTTCCCTTGATTTATTTTTGGGGATGACTTCTAATGGGTACTTCCTTCCAACCATCTTTTCTTTTTGGTGGTATTTACTACATTAATTACATCACTCTTTATCTGACTCTTTCCAAACTCTTCCTCTTAAATTCCACTTCCAGGAAGATGGAGCAAACCAACACTCTGACCAGGTTGGGAATATTTTGCTGCATTATCTTTTAATAATGTTGACACTATTCCATGTCTGAAATTTCTGTTTTAACTTTTTCTTAACCTGCAGGAAATTGAAATGATTCTGAAAAACTTTTTCTGTTGACACTAATTCCATGTCTGCAATCTTGCTGCTTTATCTTTTGATGATGTTGTAATTAGTATATACCATGGAATTAGTGTTTTAACAATTTTAATTATTAACTTGCAGGACCAGCGGCCAGCTTTGGAGGAGGTATATATAGATGTTATGTTGCATTTCTAATTATAGAACTAACATTTTCTTGACCTGCAGAACCTTGAAATGATTCAAACAGTGGAACTAGAGGTTGTCACTGCTGTGAATTCAAGTAGCTTGGGAGGTATGGTGAATTCAAGTAGCTCTGGGGAAGTGGAGATTTTACAATTGTTGCTAGAGCAACTTGAACCTTGGCATGGCACAAGGATCTTGGTGCACTTTGCTGGCCCACCTGGGGCTACAACTTTGCTGCCATAATTTTTGAGGGCTAACTCTTTTGGTTTGAATGTGACAGCAATGGGAACCGAAAAAAGAGAAAAAGAACATGATGGAGCCAATCAGGGCAAGAGGCCAGCTACTGCTTACACTACTCCAAGGTGTCACCCAATTGGTGGGTTTATGGCTGATGCTCGCCAGAACGATGGTCACGCACTGGCTACTCAAGGATCTCAGTTGTCAACCAACAAAGGTACACAAATACAAATGAGGGAGGCTACTCATGATGGGGAGGCCTCCACCTCATCATGGGAACCTGCACCTCATTGTGAGCTTGGAGTTAGCGTGTACGATCCTCTGAAGGTATGTGGTCGGTAAACTGAAGCCCCTCTCCTCTTGGATCTCTACTCTTTCCAACTTCTCTTTTACATTGAATTATTTCTTTTCTCTTTAATTGATTATTTTCCAACTTCATTTGCAATATGTGAAGCTCAAAGATGCTAACAGAAAAAAGAAAGAACCTGACAACTTTATTTACAGATGATCAAAGCTGCTGTAACCCTTGGTGGGAATTTGATGAAGGGGCTGCTGCAGTCCATGCCACCTGGTTCAGAGTTTGTAAACTTGCCTCTATTGGACACTATTCAGCGCTATCCATCTCTCCAAAACCAGTTGAATGAAGGTCTGACTTTGATAGGTCAGGGGCATCCCATCGATGACAAAGTTGCCATGCAATCTGATGATCCACCAGTGGTTGTGCCGCGCTCTTTTTTTTCGTTACACAACTGGTTGGAGAGTGTGGCATGTGAGCCCAATGTTTTTGCCCCCTCAGTAGATGCTGACAACATAGCTGCAAACGCCAGAGCTAATAATGTGGAACAGGAGGATGATGCAAATTATCAGAGGATGGATGAAGCTACTGAGGCTGATTTATGTGTTTCGATGTGGCTACGTGATCCAGATGGTGGTGAGGATCCTTGAATTTATCCTTTCTGCATAGGGTTAATGTAAACTATCGTCCCTCTACCATTAAAAAGAGTTCAATTTAAACCTTCTACTAGCAATTTATCTCATGCCCTCCTTCTATTATTATTTACCTTCACATGTCCTCCCTCTAGTATTAAAAAATACATCAATGTCGTCCCCCGTCCACTTTAGGGGTGATGACGGTTTGTTGATTGTTAACTCGCAGACGAGCAGACGTTTAGGTTTTTCTTTATTTTTACTTTTGTCCAACTGTGCATTGGTGGGTCCCACGAGTGCCAATATCCTTTTGTACAAATATCCTTTTGTACACATTTCTTTTTGTCTATTTAAATTTAATGTAAATTTAAATTAATGAAGACAATTAATTGAATTACTTAAAATTAATCAATTTAAATGATCAAAGCCAATAAAATTAACCTATTAAAAATTAAATTTGTCTAATATGTATATTAAGAACATAAATTAAAAATATATTATATTTTTTTATCATAAATTTATATTAAAAAATAAAAATTAACTTTTAATTTTTCAACAATCTAATTAAATTTATTTAATATTAATATTAATATTTTTATTTTTATATATATTTATAATAAAAAATATAATAAATAAAATTTACATTGAATCTGTTGACCTTAAAAGGGACTTCTCTTTTCTTTTTCCTTTGTTTTTTTTGGGCCCAATCCAATGAAAAAAAAAAAGGGGAAAAAGAGAGGAGCTGTTGGCAACTTTTCCGGAGTCCAGTAAAGTCGCTGGCTATTAGCAAGAATTTGGCCAAATTCCCAAATTCTAACGATCTTAAAAAAATCATGAAAAATACCCGAAAATCCCAGAAAAATCGCCAATAGCATCCAGTATCATATTTTAAGTCAAAAGGAGGAAATGAACCAGTTTTGAGAAAGGGGTTTACAGAACCCGACGAACTCAAATGCAGTTTCCGGTTGCTAAAGGAAAAAAAAAAAGAAGAAAAAATTGCATAAAAATCTTTTAAAAAATGCCAGATATTCCAAATTCTATTTTCGGCCAAAATGGAGGAAACTCAAAGTTGAGTTGGTCCTCTTACACACAGGAACCACAATTTCAACCAACAAACCACAAATTCACAACAGTGCACTTCAAAAATCAACAAATCTCAGGCAACATTCAATAGAAATAAATCCTAAACCCCAAGGAAAATCTAACATTTCATTCCATTTTTTAAGATTTCGTGAAGAAAAAAAAAAATCAAAACCTGTACCTAGGACGTTAGACACGTAGCCCCTTTCTTCTTCTCCCTTTTTCTACCCACGAACAGAGGAGAGAAAAACCAAAAAACCAGAGAGAAAGAACAACCAAAAAACCCTAGATCTAGAGAGAAAAAAATCCCTGAGAAAAACCAAACCCCTCTATTTATACAAGCCTTAAAAACCCTAGAACTCTACTTTTTCGCTTTTCGTTTTCCACTGCAGATCTAGCCTTCTTTCCTACAGCTTCTGGTTTTTCTGCAGGTAAAGCAAGGGACGAGCGTGCTTTTGGGTTGTATCTTCTGCAGGGCTTCTAAAATGTGGGACCATCTAGTTGGATGAGGTCTTGAACGGCGGTCGGAGAAGGGGAGAAATCGATTAAAACTGTACTGAAAATGGAGGGTTAGACGGAACCTTAACCCAGGACAAGGGAAAATGAGTTCGAAGCAAAGAAAGAAATTTGGGGTTTTCTAGAATTCTAGTGTGCACTGTTAGAAGAGGATATTAATTGGAAGTTGATGTGGCATGGGTGGGACCCACCAATGCATAGCTGGGAAAAAAAATAAAAATAGAAAAAAGGATTATAAATATTCTTTTATCTTCTTAACATTATCATATGATTAAGTGTAATAACCTATGATCTTAATATAAAGAACAACACCATTGGGTTGGTTTAGGTTCATTTCCATTCCTGCAATTACGACTAATATTTTAGCTCGAGCTATAGAAATTACTCCTTGTGAAG